TGTAATCCAAAGGTTTCATTACCAGCCCCGTGGTTGGGTCCATGACGCTGCTGAAAGGCATTGACACTGACCCGGGTATGTGGCCTGAACAGCAGTCTGCTGGGAATCTTGACAGTTTTATAACGAGCCACACCACTGCAGAGCCACTTTACAACTTCCCCATCAACAACCTCATGAGCTTAAGCTAAGCCAGCTTTGAGCATGATTCCTATCATGCTCAGGATTTCCCATGAGCTGAGCCAGAGCCCAGCCATGGCTGAGCCTGAGCCAAGCCATGGCTGAGCTACTCATGCATCTTTGGAGTGACTGAGCAGCTCAACCCCAAGTCGAACTTTCGTTAGAAGACGAGCCAGAGCTGAGCCAGAGCTGAGCCAGAGCCGAGCCGTGACTGAGAATTTGGCCCTAAAGAGATTGTTGCCTGAATGTAGAAGAGATTAGTCGACTTGTCACGATTCCGGACGGCAATTCGATTGAATCATTGTGCACCCTCGAGTTGAATCGCCGAGTATGGTGAATTGTTAAAACCCTGCAAAATACAATACCATCCCTATTGAACGCGATGTAAAGTTTCCGTTTCAGCACTTAAGAGATATAAGCAACATGTGAGATTCATCAATTAAAATCGAGCTTTGTGATTTAAATACACTACTCCACTGTATATGCATTGAATGACGTGTGCATCATTGCAAATTACATGCACATTTTCATTCATACTAAAAGAACGAGACGGAACATATGATTGCACGAGGCTGCAAAACATTTAGAGTTTTTAAAACATGCCAGTGTTGTGTGTCGTTGTTGCAACACAGGTGTTATCACAGCTAAATGTGTCAACCCCCTGGCAGGAATGATTCCGTTTCACTTGATCACGGTATGAAACCTCCATAATCTGCCACTCTTATCTGCGAATCCCAGATAATCAATGGGGTCCAGGTTTGCGGTTCGTCCTTGTTAGACGCACATCTTCAAGGAATGGCAGACAGGTTGGGTAAAAGTCCGCTGAGATGACCCCAGTAAATAATGTACGCCAAGGACAAAGATCTCCCGTATAGCCTTTAACAGACTGTTGGGCAAAGTGCTGTTGGCGAGCAGCGCCTATGAAGGCCGGCATGGCACACGACGGGGGTGGGTGGCCAACACCACGCGCGACCGCCTTTGTCTCCCCAGTGGCGATGTTTTCACACCGCGCCAGGTACTCATTCGAGGCTGAGTCAACCTAGGGAAGGAGGCCCATTACCGGTTCAGATAATCATCACTGGTGTTGGCAGTGAGCGGGAATCGAACTCGGGTCGCCGAGTTCGTAGCACAGCGGAGCGCTAACCGCTACACTACCACTCCCAAACAACAATCGCCATTCGCCACAAAGTGGCAGTGACGTCACCACGACGCTTGTGCCAGGCTATGTGCACGTTGAGGCCACGTGAAGTGTCAAACTCCCGCTGGCAGGTCACGGGCAGACCCAGCAGGTGCCAAGGTTCGACCGACTGAGATGACCGAGACGACTGGATGATGCACCACCTGTGCCCCCTACTGTGCCAACCTGCTGTGCTTTAGCCACCCGGCGCTCGCTCGTTGTTGTGAGCGTCGCTCCTCCGTCCTCCTTGTTGTTGGAGGTCGACTGCCTCCAACTGCCCAATAGCGTCCTTCACGAGCCTCCTCCACAGAGGCCGATCTTGACACCGCTGGTACCAGTCATCGGCAAGTCCACTCAGCTCCACGTCCTCCTGTACCACATCACTCCATCTCTTCTCTAGCCCGTGCCGCGCCCGTTTAGCCCCCTCGATCCGGCCGAACAAAAGCGTTGGCTGGGCATGCGGTGGCTGGGCATGCGGTGGCTGGGCATGCGTTGGCTGGGCATGCGTTGGCTGGGCATGCGTTGGCTGGGCATGCGGTGGCTGGGCATGCGGTGGCTGGGCATGCGATGGCTGGGCATGCGGTGGCTGTGCATGCGGTGGCTGGGCATGCGGTGGCTGTGCATGCGGTGGCTGGGCATGCGGGCTACATGACCCAACACATTTGCAGACACTCGGGCCTCCTCCGTTCTCGCTCCACCTGCCTCACCTGGCTGTGGCTGGGGCTCCGTTCCCATGAACCTGTCCTCAGACCTCGTGTCCCACCAGAACCAAGTCCTCGTGTCCCACCAGCACCAAGTCCTCGTGTCCCACCAGCACCAAGACCTCGTGTCCCACCAGCACCAAGACCTCGTGTCCCACCAGCACCAAGTCCTCGTGTCCCACCAGCACCAAGACCTCGTGTCCCACCAGCACCAAGACCTCGTGTCCCACCAGCACCAAGACCTCGTGTCCCACCGGGACCAAGTCCTCATGTCCCACCAGCACCAAGTCCTCGTGTCCCACCAGCACCAAGTCCTCGTGTCCCACCAGCACCAAGACCTCGTGTCCCACCAGCACCAAGACCTCGTGTCCCACCAGCACCAAGACCTCGTGTCCCACCAGCACCAAGTCCTCGTGTCCCACCAGCACCAAGTCCTCGTGTCCCACCACGACCAAGTCCTCGTGTCCCACCAGCACCAAGTCCTCGCTGTCCGTGTTGTCTCGGATCTACTCGGAACCTTTTGAGCAGCCCCGGCGCAAGCGAGGTGGCTCGGGAGAGTCGGGTCCCATCGCCACCGGGCTCTGGGTGGTCACAGCCAGGCCCTCCTCCGTCATCACCACCACCTAAATGTCCTCCTGCAAATTGTTCTATCGCACCAACGTTGGCTCCACCTCCCGATTGTCCACCTGCCGATATCGGGGGCCCGCTACCCAGCGGGAAGCCACCAATGCCTGCAAGCCTCAGTCCGGCACGGAGACGGCGCCGTGGCCGAACACCTTGAACATCCACCAGGCTCTGGCCGCCAAGTCGATGCCCGGGGGGGGGGGGGGGGTGGCCTCGGCCTCGGGTCGTAGACCACGCCGTGCGGGCGGGCGGGCGGGCCGACGCGCTGAGGAGGAGGCGGGCGATGGGCGTGAAGGCCCCGGCGCTCGGCATGGAGTGCTGGAGGTGGCTTCACCCCTCCACGTCGAAGAAGACGGCCCCTGGGAGCCGGGCCTCGCAAAACTCCTGGCGGGCAAGTGCCACGGCGTAGTCGAGCAGCACCACGAGGCCAAGTAGCGATGGTACTTGCTGCTGCTGCTTGCCGGTGGTGGTGGCGGTGATATTGAGGAGGAAGAGAGTCTCTGGGCTGGGGCTGCTGCATGCGTGTCGCTACTGGCTGGGGGTGCTGGGGAGAGGGTGCTCGCATCCTGAAGCTCATCGGCTCGTGACGCTGGCAATGAAACGTGGGCTTTGTAACTCGCTATCTCTCCCCGTGGTTAGATTTCATTACGTATTAATTACGGTTTTAACCATGTCCAACTGAGGGTCCAACGCGTTCGCCATGTGAGTCCATGTGCATTGTCTGCTGGGCACGCGGACAATTTCTAGGGAAGATAATGCCGGTGTGAATTCGAGTTAATTGTTATTCTGGACCTTACCCTTGGAACAACCCTGACAAGTGTGTCCTCATGCCATAATAAAACCCAGATCACACAACGGGTCGCCCACTACGGGGGACGTCACGCCCTGGCTGCTGGCGGTGCGTGCCACGAACTTACTCCGCTCTCACCCAGAGTCCCCTGCCCCGGGAGGCGCGGGAACCTGGGCACTGAAAAGAGGCAAGGCAGGCCTGGTGCCTGGGGCTACAGGCCCCAACCAGCGTTGAACATGGATCGACGATGGCGCGTGTCTTGTCAAGCAACGTGACGGAATCTCGTTTATACTTTAATGTTTTGTATTTACCTATTGGTTACAATTAACTTAACATTTTTTTTTATTTTGCGTCAGTTAAAATGGTTCGTTACTCGTTGAAGTTAACATGTCGGAATCCTACATTTGTAATAAAAGAGCAACGTATTTTGTTTTTTAACGAATGCGTACAACCAGGCTGTGACATTGAGCTGATGTTGATGAACACAAGGTGAGTGGCAGGTGCCAACAAGAGGCATGGAGAGACAAGAGGATGAACGCCTGCAGATAGATGACTTAGGCTGACCACATTAATCAGAATCTTGATTTGAAGGCTATACGGGTGATCTTGGGTTTTTGTGGTGGCCGTAGTGGTGTTGGTGGTTGTACATTGATAGTGGTGACGGTGCCCATGGTGGACACAATCAGAATCTTTCGACTGCAGGAGGAATCCGATGAGCTTTGAAGCTCTTTTTCACACATGTCCAGTAGGAGCGGCTCAGCGGGTTACAACAAAAGGCAATACAAAAAGCAGGAGTGCAAACTAGAGAAAACCGTAAGTCACTAAATATGAATAAAACATGTTTTAGTTGTACTGTTTAAGTCCGATTGATCAAGCTTGGGCAAGGCAGCAAAACAGTCCCAGAGCAGCACACCAAGATAACGCCACACAGCAATCACTCAATACCATGCAACATTAACTATCGATACACCTCTCAGCAACACGACCTTATATTTCATACATTTGGACCATGTTTACGAGAGTTATCGTGACCCATTGCTGCAGAGAGAGAGCTCGTTGATCAACAATGCTTTCAACCTTGCAAAAGTGCTGGAATACAGAGCGGCGTTATTAATCACGTTGAATGGAACAGCGTGAACATTCCAGCTACAGTGGGGCACTCGCTCCTACGATTTAAATGTGTGTGCTGCCACACGAGTCACACGTTTGGTCATTGTCACCCAGGAATATAATCGACTTTAGCAACAGGACAGAGTTTTCTTTAATAGTTCAGGTTTAATGAACAGTGCCCAGTCATAACTCACAGTAAGCACAAACAGGGATTAGTTTGTCTGGGGAGCAGTCGTGTAGTAGTTACCACTCACGGTCATCAAAACTAGGATCGATTATCTGAACTGGTCCTGGGTCTCCCCTAGGTCGATTCGGCCTCAAATGAGTACCTGGTGTGGTGTGTAAACATCGCTACTAGAGAGACAAAGGCGGCCGGGCGTGGTGTTGGCCACCCATCCAATCGTGTGCTGAGCCGGCCTGTATAAGTACTGGAGAACAGCACTTTCGCTAAAAGTCTGTTAAGGCTTTATATAAGGGTGATCTTTGTTCATGTACAATATAACCTTTGCCCAAAATGTAATTAGAGTACTTTAAGCCAACTATAATGAAATACAGTGTAGTAATAAGGGGAGCTCTTGTGCAACTGTGCAGGGGTTGGGTACGTGCTGTGGTTATTCATAGGATTTAGAATGAGCAATATTTACAACAATTTGTTAATTCACTGCTGGATGAAGGCTTCCTCAACCTGTCAGTATTAGGGGTTGTTTGACTTCACGTTTTAGGTTGATGAAGGGGAGGCCTAAGTACCGCTTCCCATGTTGATTGCCACTGATGTTGGCCGTGCTGGGGAGCAAACGTGCGCAACCGCTACATTCATATAAGGAAACGTTATTTACAATTAAAGCAGCACACTTGTTTTAATCGCCCCGAATGTTATTTAATCTCCTTTTTACGCCCAAAGCTCTTGTAGCATAATACGTTAATGAGCAAAACCCAGTCAGGGCTGCGTCAATCTCAGGAGCACTGCTAAAGCGCCCTCTAGCGGCGTGACAGTCACGCTACAGTCAGCTAACCTCTCTCCAAAGCCTCAACAGCAACCCACAACTTGGTTATCTCAGCCCAGGTTGTCACTGGCCTGCGTTTTCTTTAATACACATTGAAGTAGTCATTACGCAGCCTCGACAGAAAGTCGTGCACGATCGAGGGGCAACCATCGTTCAAAGGCAGCGCCTGTGAACGACCGATGGCCCAAACTCCTTGTACTCAGGCGCTGTTATCCACATCTGCTGGAAGGTGGAGAGGGATGCCAGGATCGAGCCGCCAATCCACACCGAGTACTTCCTCTCCGGTGGCGCAAAGATCCTGACAGGAGCTCCGCGTGGCGCTAACTTTGCCAGCTCTTGCCACAGTCGCTCGTCCAGCCCAGGGAAGAGGCTGGACCCCCCAGAGAGCAGGATATTGGAGTAGAGGCTCTTGCGTAGGTCGATGTCGCTCCGGGTGACACTTTTCCAGACCAGCTGGTGGATTCCCGGTGCGTCCAGTCCGACGATCGTGGGCGAGAAGAGAAGCTCTGGTGCCCGGAAGCGCTGGCTGTGAAGGGTAATGACTTGACCGTCCGGCAGCTTGTAGTCGACAGCCAGCTCCTCTGGCTTCCGTCTAAGCTCCTTCTCGTAGTCCCCGGCCACGTAGCACACCTGTTCTTTGATGTCGGCTACGATCTCCCACTCGGCCGAGCTCACAAACGCGTGTCCCCTCTCGGCGAGGATTCGGCCCAGGTTATCGGTGACGTCTCGCCCGGCCACATCCGAGCGGAGCACAGCGCGCGGGAGCCCGTAACCCTCAAACACGGGCACGGCGTGTGTTACCCCGTCGCCCACGCCGACCGCCAGCCCCGTCACCATGCCGCTGGCGTAGAGCGACAGCACGGCCTGCACGGCGATGTGGACGGCCGGTGCCCCGAACCGCTCGAACAGCAGCTGGGCCGCTTGCTCACGGTTCTCCAGGGGGTTCAGAGGAGCCTCCGTCAGGAGCACGGGCTGGTCCTGCGGTCTCGCGTGCAGCTCGGCCTCGTAGGCGTGGGCCCACACGCGCTCCATGTCGTCCCAGCGCGTCACGATGCCGCGCTCCACTGGGTAGCGGAGGGACAGCACGCCGCGCCGGCACAGCGCCTGCCGCCCTATGTAGCAGCCACCATCGCCGCTACCGCCGGCGTCGTCAAGCCCACGGCTGACGAGCATCGTGTCCCTCTGACGGGGCCGGCCCACGAGCGAGGGCACACAAAAGCGTGGGGCGTTCTCCCCGGCAAAGCCAGCCTTGCATAGACCGGAGCCATTGTCCATGACCACTGCCGGGTTGTCCATGTTCCTGGCTGTCAGGTGCAGGGAGATGGGGCCTTTTAAAGACTGAAAGTGAAAAGTGAACAAAAATGAGAAAGAGACATGTTAGGATGTGGAGTAAGTCATATCGCTAACCCGAACCAACCACCAGTCCCACCACTAATCCTAACCACACGAGCTAACCACCCAACAGCCCTACTAACCAAAACTACATTAACCAAACCACAACAATACTAACCATACGGATATTCACCAGATCACAGCCTTGTGTCTAACTCTAACCACATTAACCAGAGACCATAGCTCTACTAATCAAAATCCCACTAACCAGACCACAGTCCTATGTCTAGCCTTAACCCACGTTAGACTACTTGACTATATCCTGACAACTGCCCCCGTCCTTGATTCTAGGCATGATGTTAGCCTGGCCTCTGCTGCTTTTTTCCTTGTTCCTTTTTTCATGTTTTGTTCAGTGCTCAGTTTTTGTTTTTCACAGTGCGGGGAATATTGTTAGTTGCTCCTACAGAGATACGCTGCCACATCCAGTCTCAGGTATACCGATATATATCTCCGACTAGTTTGCTTTCCACTGGCTTTAGCATTACACTCTTTCAAAAAGTACCTGAATTATTTAGGTATGATGTCATTGTAATTAAGCCCACTTCCAATTCGATGGATACAACTCTTTGGGAATAAAAATGTAATCATAAAAAAATGCCACTAAGATTTGGTAGACTCAATTGAACATTGTTTTTCGGAATGTATAATCCGATGCCATTTAGCTGCAGAACCTTTGAAACAAGCCAATTACAAACTTGCATACATGAGGTGATCTATGAACGTGTGAAATAATATCATACATGAGAGTCATTGGTGAATAACCTTGTATGGATCTGCCAATATAAAATAACTACGATAAAATGTAAATCCATATGGTAACATAGAACGGTATAAAAGACCATTCCAAATTCATCGTAAACAATGTGGCTTACAAGAGTAACCAGCGAGCGGGAACAAATTCCGTCACGCGTGCAGAGCGTCGCTTGTTTTTAATTCGCTTTGAAGTTACTTAGCTAGTTAGGCTAACACGTGGACTTCCGCGATCGATAGTCTTTGAACCCGCCACCACCCGACAACCTGTCGGGTGGTGGCGGGTTTAAAGACACATTTACCCCATTTAATCCAATTTATTTTAATGGTTGATGTTCATTATTCATTACGTTTATTTCTCAGAACCACGTTGGGTCAGCCAAGGGGTTTACTCAGTTGAAACTACATTCAACAAGGGGGACGGGGGGGTGACACAGTAGCCAACACATCTGAGAACCACTCACTGCTCTAGCCCATCTTGAATAACTTGTTCATCTGTCCACAAACACCTGGGAGGCGTTGCTGAACACCGAACACGAGCACATGTGGAGTTGGTATGGCCAGAACCAGGCCCACACCGAGTCTACCTCTCCACACAGGTTCATCGGGTACGTGTTTAAGGCTGAGTCGACCCAGGGGAAGCCCAGGGTAGGCACCACACTTTGCTGACGTTAGCCTTGGCCGGGAATCGAACCGAGGTTTCACTCATGAGCGGGCTTGAGACCCGTCAACTCGCGACACTTAAGAACCCGGTTTGATTACGGTCAGCTGTACAACAACATGGAACTCCATTTACCAACCCTGGAGGCATGATGATTGTGATAGACGAGGTGATGTTCTTTTTTTATTATGCTTACGGTGAATTTATAATCTACGTGATATTTAACGGTTTACCCCGCACAATTCCACGTTTAACATTCCAGAGCCAATTACAGTAGAGCGTATACAGGTCGTCCCCGACTTACGATGGTCCGACTTACGATATTTCGATCTTACGATGGCGATAGCGATAAAATTGCCATCAACAACCTAACATTATTCAAGTATGCAGACGACGGACAGAATCTTTGTGAGTACAGTACAATATGATACGTTACGATACGTTCAATGCATGTATGATACGTAGCTTTAGCGATTTCATTTTAGGGTTACCACGATACATACGTTCAGTGCATGTTGAAAGTTTTTTTTTTATAGCAGATAGGATTGTTTCCTGAAAAGACTTTATATTAAATCGCAGTTCATATAGGTAGGCTAAGAATTTACCTTGTTTTTTACTTTACATTTTACTGTGAAATATAGTATTGTAATTAATAAATACATACAGTATATAGTTTATACAGTACGGTACTGTAAATAGCTCTGTTTTGCTAAATTATCACCATTCTTTAAGTCTCCTGGGTAGGCTAGGCCATCTTCGACTTACGGCATTTTTGACTTACAATGGGGGTCGTCGTAACGCATCTCCATCGTAAGTCGGGGACTACCTGTACATATTAAAGACATTACGGTACATTGTCATGTTAGCTAACCTCACACAGAGTTGGGCACACTGCACAATAATCTAAATCTATTGTCACACTCCTCACTATTCGATGCGAGCGCAGTGAACGCGATGAGGACTTTTCGACGTCCAGCGGATCAGTTGCTCAAAGGAATCACTTGAAACAGGAGCTGTCCATGGTCAACCCTGCATACAAACGCGTCAACACACCCAGAGCCATAGGCAGATGTCTCACGGCGTCCCGTCCTGCCCGACTACCCTCACGGATCCACGATCATCATCATCATCATCGATGATCATCATCATCGATGATCATCATCATCCACCCCAAATCGCCACTCTCACAGCCGCACGCATCACCCACGGCCAACCTGGCGTGGATCTCTTCAGCTTGCTACGGCCCCTTCGCTGGGTTCATTTACAGGCGACGTTGTTCAACAACTCGAAGGTTGTCTCTGACGGTAATGAGAAGTTGTCTCTGTAATGAGAAGTTGTCTCTGTAATGAGAAGTTGTCTCTGTAATGAGTTGTCTCTGACTGTAATGAGAAGTTGTCTCTGTAATGAGAAGTTGTCTCTGTAATGAGAAGTTGTCTCTGACTGTAATGAGAAGTTGTCTCTGACTGTAATGAGAAGTTGTCTCTGACTGTAATGAGAAGTTGTCTCTGACTGTAATGAGAAGTTGTCTCTGACTGTAATGAGAAGTTGTCTCTGTAATGAGAAGTTGTCTCTGTAATGAGAAGTTGTCTCTAACTGTAATGAGAAGTTGTCTCTAACTGTAATGAGAAGTTGTCTCTGACTGTAATGAGAAGTTGTCTCTGACTGTAATGAGAAGTTGTCTCTGTAATGAGAAGTTGTCTCTGACTGTAATGAGAAGTTGTCTCTAACTGTAACTACAGAGTCTGGTCGCCGTTACGCCCGTTGCGGCGAGCCAACAGATTCTATAGCGCGCTTAGGCGACTCAGCGGCCGCGTGCTCGCATTTCCTAGCGCGGATAGGTATTGGGCGGTGCCACCCTCGTCACATCGACAGCGGTCACTCCCAACGCGCCGCCGGTTGATTTCAAGGCTCCGTCTCCACACGCGGAGCCGCTTACTCGGGACGCGTTCCGCTCCTGCCCTGCCACTCACCTTGTAGTTTGTGTCATTGTTATTATCATGACTCCTGACCAGCGTCGTTTCAAACCATGCCCGCTGTCATGCTCCCTAGCCCCCTCTCATGTCGGAAACTGTGGCATTTAAATGTTTAAATAAAAATTGGCAAAACATATTTAAAGGGACATTGCCCACAACGTCGCCTTATTGTATATATTATTTGTTTCTTTCGGTAAAGTCACGTAGATATAAAAAAATGAAAAAGACTAAAGTGAAAAAAAATCAAATGAGTTAGGCTAACACGTGGACTTCCGCGATCGATAGTCTTTAAACCGGCCACCACCCGACACAACCTGTCGGTGGTGGCGGGTTTAAAGACACATTTACGCCATTTAACCCAATTTATTTTAATGGTTGATGTTCATTATTCATTATGTTTATTTCTCAGAACCACGTTGGGTCAGCCAAGGGGTTTACTCAGTTGAAACTAAATTCAACAAGGGGGACGGGGGGGGTGACACAGTAGCCAACACATCTGAGAACCACTCACTGCTCTAGCCCATCTTGAATAATTTGTTCATCTGTCCACAAACACCTGGGAGGCGTTGCTGAACACCGAACACGAGCACAAGTGGAGTTGGTGTGGCCAGAACCAGGCCCACACCGAGTCTACCTCTCCACACAGGTTCATCGGGTACGTGTTTAAGGCTGAGTCGACCCAGGGGAAGCCCAGGGTAAGCACCACACTTTGCTGACGTTAGCCTTGGCCGGGAATCGAACCGAGGTTTCACTCATGAGCGGGCTTGAGACCCGTCAACTCGCGACACTTAAGAACCCGGTTTGATTACGGTCAGCTGTACAACAACATGGAACTCCATTTACCGACCCTGGAGGCATGATGATTGTGATAGACGAGGTGATGTTCTTTTTTCATTATGCTTACGGTGAATTTATAATCTACGTGATATTTAACGGTTTACCCCGCACAATTCCACGTTTAACATTCCAGAGCCAATTACAGTAGAGCGTATACAGGTCGTCCCCGACTTACGATGGTCCGACTTACGTTTTTTCATATTCTTAGGATTTATATTCTTGGTTCTTTCGGTAAAGTCATGTAGTAAGGAAACAATAAAATTATAAAAATATAAAACAATAAAATTATCACGACGTTTCGACTGCAACACAAGCAATCATCAGGTGTGAAAACCACAGCAAAAAAAAATTGAAAAAAGTGGCGGTTTTTTTTAACGTTCAGCTACCTCCACAGATTTTCTATGGGATTAAGGTCTGGAGACTGGCTAGGCCACTCCAGGACCTTAATGTGCTTCTTCTTGAGCCACTCCTTTGTTGCCTTGGCCGTGTGTTTTGGGTCATTGTCATGCTGGAATACCCATCCACGACCCATTCATTTTCAATGCCCTGGCTGAGGGAAGGAGGTTCTCACCCAAGATTTGACGGTACATGGCCCCGTCCATCGTCCCTTTGATGCCGTGAAGTTGTCCTGTCCCCTTAGCAGAAAAACACCCCCAAAAGCATAATGTTTCCACCTCCATGTTTGACGGTGGGTATGGTGTTCTTGGGGTCATAGGCAGCATTCCTCCTCCAAACACGGCGAGTTGAGTTGATGCCAAAGAGCTCCATTTTGGTCTCATCTGACTACAACACTTTCACCCAGTTGTCCTCTGAATCATTCAGATGTTGATTGGCAAACTTCAGACGGGCATGAATATGTGCTTTCTTGAGCAGGGGGACCTTGCGGGCGCTGCAGGATTGCAGTCCTTCACGGCGTAGTGTGTTACCAATTGTTTTCTTGGTGACTATGGTCCCAGCTGCCTTGAGATCATTGACAAGATCCTCCCGTGTAGTTCTGGGCTGATTCCTCACCATTCTCATGATCATTGCAACTCGACGAGGTGAGATCTTGCATGGAGCCCCAGGCTGAGGGAGATTGACAGTTCTTTTGTGTTTCTTCCATTTGCGAATAATCGCACCAACTGTTGTCACCTTCTCACCAAGCTGCTTG